TTGTAAAATTATTAGAAATATTTAAAAATATTTAAAATAAAACAAAAAATTTAAAAAACAAAAGTAAGTAAAATTTAGCAAAACTATTTAAAATATTTTAATAATAGTTAATAATGCATCACCAAATTTTTAAACTGAAATAATTTGTAATATTTTGCGTCAAACACAATTATTTTAAAATATTTCAAAAGAATTTAAAAAACTGCACTGATCTCTGAATTTTATTAAGAAACTTTGCAGTATTGTGCTAATTAAAAATGATCAGTAGGTTATCTCAGTCATAATAGTAGTTAAATCATCAAATTTGGATAAGTATTCACTTAGATAGCTATAATACAATTCTTTCAAAATATTCGCAATATTTCGAAATAATTGCGAAATATTCACAATATTTTGAATAAATTGCGTTATAGCTATATTAGTGAATACTTATCCAAATTTGATAATTTAACTACCATTATGATCAAGATAACCTGCTAATCATCTATAATTAGTGCAATATTGCAGTTTTTTAAATTCTTTCACAATATTTCAAAATAATTGTATTTGACGTAAAATATTGCAAATTATTTCAGTTTAAAATTTTGCTAATAATATAAAAATTCTTAGATATATATTTAATGAATAAATTCTAAAATATTTGTTATACTTTGAAATACTTTAATAAATTTCAAAAGAATTCAAATAAATTCAAAAATATTTGAAATAATTTGAAATAATGCAAAAATATTCGAAATATGTTTAAATATTTTAAAATTATTCTAATGTATTTAGTTATTTTTATTATATTTAATTATAAAAATTTAAAGTTAGAATTGCAAATAAAACTGATTATATTTATTAAAAATGTAAATGATAAAAATATAAAAATAAAACAGAAAATCTAAAATATAATATATAAAAATATCAAATAAAAAATAAAAAAAATAAAATATAAAAATTTTAATTTTTTAAAGATCCTTTTTGTAGATCTTCAATTTCTTCTAAAGCTATTATTTCTTCTATCATAGGCTCCTCTCTTAATTGAGCCAATGTCCTAGCTGATGGCTTTGCACTTAACTGTGACAAAGTCTTAGCCGAAGGCTCAGTTCTAATCTGGGACTCTGTTCTTGTCTGAGACTTAGAAACAGTTTGAGTCCCAGTTGGAGTTGTGGTAGTGGCAAGAGTTTCTGAAGAAGTTAGAGTAAGTCTAACTCTTTTAGAAACCTAAATAATAAAGTAATAATAAAGTTTTTATAAGAATAAAAATAAAAATAATTGTATAAATTATTAATATTATAATTACCTTTTTAGAAGTTTGCAGAGAAGTTCGTATTCTTCTTTTACCTGCTGTCTGTAATCAAATTAATAAAAAATATTGTATTTATGAAATAAATTAATTAATACTCACTTTGCTAATCACTTCTTCTTCATCTTCACTAGATGTTAAATTATCATCACCAGGTGGTGCAAAACCTAGATTTTTCTCTAACCGATCCTTTATTTTATTTATTTAATAAAAATTAAAGCTGAATTTAAAAACAATAAATGATGCAAGTATGCATATAATCGAAAAAATTTTCTAATAAAGATAATTGTTTACAAGTAGATTAAATTAATTTAAAAGTAAATAGAAACACTAAAAATAGTAAAGTCATTAAAATTATACATTAATATTAAATAAAAGTGAAACGATTCAAAATATTTAGAAGATAAAAATTTTGAATACATTAAAAGTATTTAAAGAAATGCAAAATAATTTGAATACATTAAAATTAATTTAAAAAATGTGAAAAAGCAATTAAAATATTAAAGATTAATAAAGAATATTAAAAAACTTTAAAATAATTTAAGCGTGCAAAATTAAAATAAATATAAATTAAATTTTGATTACATTAAAAAAGTTTAAAGTAAAGCGAATTTATTTGAATACATTATAATTATTTTAATAATAAAAGAAATATGCATATTAAATTATAATAATTTAAGAATATTAAAATTACTTTGAAAAGTTGAAGAGTGTAAAATATAAAAAGAAGGAAAATTTTCTTTGCAATCTGACATTGTCTTCTCATAATATAAGTTTACTTTTAAAATTCAATCTTACAAAATATTACAACTACTTGCTAATCTTTAAAATATTCCATAATAATTCGCAAATATTCGCAAAATTTCACAAAAAATTGTACTTTTTTTTATATATTACAAATTTATTATTATCTTTATCATCTTTTTCATTTTTAAATTTTTATTTTATATTTAATATTTTATATTTAATTCTTTATATAATATTTCTAATACAGTGCAGGACACCTAAAGACAACCCTAAAATTGGATAATTTTAAAATTTAATCTAAAGTTATACAGATATGCTACAAAAAAAAGGGGGCTGCTATTTTGTAACCAAGCCTGTTTACTACAAAATAGCAGCCCTTTTTTAAAAATACAATTACCCGTTATCAAGATATATCCGATTAAAAAAACTGCATTTTTATATAATCGACGGAAAATGTGACAGATAACGTGATCTGAAATTATCTAATCAAAATTTATTTTTTATTTGATTGGCTAATAAATCATCATATGCTTTATTAAAATTTATTTGAGTTTTAATGATTAATCATATCTGATATCGATGCAACAAAAAAATTGTTCAAGAGATGAACACACTTGAATAATAAGACAATGCTATGAAGCATCCCAATAATGAAATGAATAGCACTATGATCAGACCTTAACAACGAAAAGAAGAGTGGGACAAAAAAGCAAGACAAAACATCACAAAAACTATACCTATAACAGTGGTTCACTGGAGGTTACTTTATCGTTAAAAAAAAAATAATAAATAAAAATAAACTTTCACATCAAAAAAAAACTGAAATATGGTCAAGAGAAAAATCCTCGTAAAACTTCGTGAATACAATGATATAAGAAAGGAAATGGCCCAAAAAAGATGGAAGAAGTTGGATATGTTAGAAGGGAATGATAATTCTAAACAAAATTCAGAGGAATACAGTAGTCAGGAGGAATACAATGAGGAGGAATACAGTGATGAGGAATATAGTGATCAGGAGAAATATGAAGGTGTAGACGATGAAGAAAGAACACACATATGTTTACTTACAGTACCCCTTGTATGGAAAAAAAAGCCTGAAATAAGGACAGTAAGGGGTTTTCTCAAATCAACCTATTATCGCAAGTTTGGTGCCTCAGGCACGCTTACCAATGCAGCCAAAGGAACTTCTAAAATAACTAATTTTTTTGGGCCTTTAACATCAGCATTACCAACGTATTCAGCATTATGGACAGCATCCCTAAGGCATTTAATTTTGGCCAAATTGAACTATGATGAGGATGAAAGCGAGAATAGTGATGCTGATGGAGGTGATGATAATAGTGAGGAAGCACATTTTGAACTTGGTGATGTAATTGCACAGCTTCAGGATAAACTTTTAAAAAACGAAAGAACATTCACCACTCTAGAATATAACAAACGACAGGCTGTCTATGAATATTTTGTAAGGGTATACGATGGTCATGGAAAAGTGAAAGCAAGTGAAGTTGCAGTAAGCATAGTTTACATCATCCCGAACACATACAAATGTAAAAGAATCCGTTTTTTGGGTAATTTTTATTTATGTAATGAATCATTTCCGATATCCTATCATGGCCAGCACCAAAAATATAAACAGTTAGTTGATGATGAAGATGTGGCACTAAAATGTATACAGTAGATCTGAGAGAATCAAGGATAAATGACATTAGTTCATCTCAGTTTAGACAATATGTCAATTCTGTTATTTTACCTGAGCATACGGGAGGGATAAAAAAGGCAATTAGCCTGAGAACGGCTAAAAGATGGTTGAATATTTTAGGTTGTTAGTTTAAAAAATACCGGAAGGGTATGTACTTGGATGGACATGAACAAAGCAACATTGTTAAATATCAAAATAGGTTTTTAGAGAAGATGAAGATTTTAGAATGGTGGATGGCAACGTATAAAGGAATAAAAATGGAATGGGTTCCACCTGTACTTAGGGTAGATGAACGAGAGTTAATCCTTGTCACTTATGATGAGTGTATCTTTTATTCGTATGATGGAAAAAGAGGAATTTGGATATACGGTGGGATGATGCCATTACGTAAAAAAGGGAGTAGAAAATCAATTATGGTGAGTGAATTTGTTTTAGAGGCATGTGGTAGATTACAACTAAGTTAAAACGAAAGGGAAAATCATCCTAATGTTGCTGCAGAAGCACACTGCTATCTTAAACCCAGTAAAAATAAAGAAAATTACTGGACAATCGAACATTTATTGAAACAAATCAAAGAAAAGGCCATTCCCATTTTTGAAGCAAAGTTCCCTAGTGCAACGGCGTCTTTGTCTTCGATAATAGTACAAATCATGTAGCTTTTGCAGATGATGCCCTTGTAGTACAAAAAATGAACAAAGGGCCTAGAAAAAAGCAAAGCGTAATGTGACCAACAACTTTTATTGATGTTAATGATCGACAGAGGGCACAAGAAATGGTATTTGAAGAGGATTACTCTGATCTGAATTTGAGAGGGAAGCCGAAAGGAATAAAGAAGGTATTAGAGAAAAGAGGACTTTTTAAAGAGAGATTAAATTTAGATTGTTTAATGTGTAAAAAAAAGAATGATTCAAGAAGAATGAATTGTTGCTTGAGGAAAATTAAGGCCTCTTAACCAGATTTTGTCACCCAAAAGTCTGCCATTGTCAAATTAATCAAAGGTGCTGGCCATATCTGCATTTTTTATCTGAAGTTCCACTGCGAACTTAATTTTATCGAAATGTATTGGGGGCGGCTAAAAGATATGCAAGAAATCACTGTGATTATACATGGACTGGCTTGCAAGAAACTGTTCCAGAAGCACTTGATTCAGTAGACATCGTTACGATTAGAAAATTCGCTCGCAAATCGTGAAGATATATAGAGTTGTATCGTGAGGGATTGATGGGAAAGTTGGCAGAATATGTATGTAAAAAATTTAAATCACATAGAAGAGTTCCTGAAAATGAATTGGCTTCATTTGTTCAAGAAAATAGAGAAGTGAGCACTGTTTAATAATAAATAATTAAAATTTTAATGTGCGATTAATAAATTAAATAAAATTTAAATTGCAATTTTTTAATGCATGATTAAAAAAAAAAAAAATAAATTTAGCATGCAATTAATTAAATAAATCGTAATTTAAATAAATAAATGCATGATTAAATAAATAGATTCGTGGTTAAATAAATAGATGTTAATTAAAAAAATAAATTAAAATAAAATTTAAATTGCAATTAAAAATAAATAAGTAAATAAATTAATGCGTGATTAAAAAAAAGTTAAATCAATTTAGTGTGCAATTAATTAAATAAATCTAGATAAATGCATGATTAAAAAAATAGATATACGATTAAATAAATAGATGAGCGATTAAAAAAAATTAATAAATAGATTTAAATAAAATAAATTAAAATAAATAATGTTTGTATGTGATTTAAAATTAATTACTTTTAAAAAATCTGTAGGTTTTGAAACCAGAGAAATAAATTGGTTCCAATCAAGATGATGT